AGGCTGCTTCTTGCTCCTTGTGGACTGACCAAGGGCTGCTGGGAGCAGGGGGCAGGGCTTGTTGCATGTGCCCGCCCCCTGGGCTTCTTACTGCCGGAGCTCCGCTCCTGTGCGCTCCCGCAGGAAATGACCCCTAGATAGACAGACAGACAGACAGACAGACAGACAGACAGACAGACAGACAGACAGACAGACAGATAGATAGATAGATAGATAGATGATAGAGATGGATGGATGGATGACAAGTAATAGCTAAATAGATGATAGCTAGAAGATAGATTGAGCAAGCTTCAGAGGATGGCGGAGGACAGGAGGGCCTGGCGTAATTTGGTCCATGGGGTCGCGAAGAGTCGGACTCGACTGTGCGACTGAACAACAACAAAATAGCTAAATAGATGATAGCTAGAGGATAGCTAGAGAGAGATATGACAGAGAGATGATCGATAGATAGATGATAGCTAGATAGACGATACACAGACGATAGATAGACAGACAGACAGACAGACAGACAGATAGATAAGCTGGTCTGAATGTTTTTTGATTGCTCGCCATCTCGGGGAACGTGTTGGGCAGAAAGGTGGCATAAAATATTATAAATGAATAAGATAAAACGAGGTGTTCTCTTGGGGATCTGCCACCTTTGTGGGACCGACTCTCAGCCTCTTCTGATGCACTGTAGATAAAGTACCGGTAGATCTAGAGAAGACATCAGAGGTCCCTGCTGCGCTCTCACCCAAAGAGAGCAAAGCCCCACGCTGCTAAGCCTAGAATCTCCCACTGCCCGCCAGAATGAGAGACGGGGACTCAGAAAATCAATGTGAAATGGGTAGGATTGCTGCAGGAAAATGTCCTCCACGAGCTCCCAGGAACATGGCCCTAGATTGTGGTTTCTCATGAGCTTTCACCATCTGTTCAATCTTTCCTCGGCCTTCCCCCCCACAAAAACAAACAGAGAACACAAAGCAAAAAAACCTTTATCAAGACAGCAGCTGCGTTTCGGGCCCAGACAAACCTATAGACATCTTTTGCACATTCACCTGGGAGTACGTCCCATTGAACGCAATGGGGGCTCGATCCTGAACAAGCATGCGCAGGATTGGGCTGCAAAGAGGCCCTCTCCCAGTGCCAACTTGGATGCAAGCCCCGTGAAACACGCAGAGGCTTATTTCCGAGTAGCCCCACACGGGATCCGGCCCCGGGGCCGCCACGCTGTGCCTTCTGTGCAATCACGCTCATGCCTCTGCTGAAGTTTCATTCGAGGGAGCATATTGTCGAGGGAGGCGCTGATTTGATCTGAAGGCTGCCCGGCCTCCGCGGAGGGAGGATGCTCTGGCTGTCTCTTTGAGATGCACTGATTTCTCAGAGTAGTTGGCTCGGTGCGCGTGCGGTTTTTCCTCCTCCCTTCTCTTTATTCAGAGGCTTAGACCCTGCTTTTCTCCCCAATGGGGACTCAAAGCAGCTTGCAACATCATTCCCCCCTCCCTCCATTTTTTCCTTACAACAACCCTATGAGGTAGGTAAGACTGAGAGAGAGAGAGAGAGAGAGAAGGGGAGAGACTGGCCCAGGGTCACCGAGTGAGCTTCCATGGCAGAGTGGCAATTTGAACTCGGTTCTTCTCCAGACACAAATGGCTTTAATTCCTTGTTCAAGTCAGCGAGTGTCGCTACATCTTGTGGCAGAGAGTTCCACAAGTTAACCAGGCACTCTTCATGTACTTTACACCCTGCCACTCTCCCCAAAGGGGCTTACAGCATTCTCTTGACCTCTATTTTATCCTCACAACGACCGGGAGGTAGGTTAGGATGAGGGGGGGTGACCGGGCCAAGGTCACCCAGCGAGCTCCCATGGCACGAGTGGGGATTCGAACCTGGGTCTCCAAGATCCTAGGCTGACACTCTAGCCACGACACACGCTGCCCCTCTAGCAACTCTAGCTCGCCCCCTAGTGGTGCATAACGCTAAAAAGTTCCAGAATGTCTGGCTGCCAGAGAATCTTAAGATCTCCTGTCTATACTACACACATGGCCATAGGATAATTAATTAATTAAGCACACTGCCCCTCACTAAGGGAAGAGGTGCTCTTTTTACATCTGACCCCTGAGTATTCTGAAAGAGGTGGAGAGAAAAAATTATCTCCATCCCCCAACGCCTTAAATTAATACTTTTATAAACCTCCGCCATGTCCCCTCACCTTAGTCCTCTTCTCTGGAAAGAAAACCTGCCTAGTTCTGTTCTAAGGTTCACTCCAGATGCTTCCATATGGGGAGGATTCTCTGGGGCACTTTCTTTGCTGGTGGGAATACAGATGTTTTTGTTGTTCAGTCGCACAGTCGAGTCCGACTCTTCGCGACCCCATGGACCAGATCACGCCAGGCCTTCTAATCTTCCGCCGTCCTCTGAAGTTTGCTCAATTTCATGTTCGTTGCATCCATGACACTGTCTAACCATCTCATCCTTTGCCGTCCCCTTCTTCTTTGACCTTCCATCTTTCCCAGCATCAGGGTCTTCTCCAGGGAGTGCTCCCTTCTCATTGGGTGGCGAAGGTATTTGAGCTTCAGTTTCATTATCT